CCCTCTGTATAACAAGTTTCTCAATTCATTGGATGAATAAACTGTAGCTCATCAGCAAGGCAGATTACCAGGAATTATACCGGAATTAAAACTTCGATTAACACCTAAAGACAAGACATTTCTTGCTACAGTTTGTAGTACCAACTTTGGCGAATAGTAGATATACTACTAGAAAATTGCCATTCTTTGAGTCTAAGTTTTTCCTAAACTCAAACCTAAGTTTATGTCATCATTATTCGAAAGTGTGCTTTAGGTTTACTAGTCACATTATTAATTATAGTAGAAAACACAAGAAATTAAGTGCTCTCTTTCAAGTTTAATCAGTGAGTTTTGAGACTGAGATGTAAAATTTGGAATTGATGATAACAAAATTGATTTGGACTAGCTTCCAGGAGCTCTGATCATTTTTAACCTTTTGACCCTTAAAAGAATAATTTCTTGCCTTATATATTCCCTGAGTTTGCCTACCAACGTTAGGAAACTGTTTTAAAAACGTGAATATATATTGTGTTTTGATTTTTATTCAGTTAAATTAATTTCCAACTTTCCTATCTTCTTTGACCCATGAGTTATTTTCAAGTATGTACTTAACTTCCAAATGTTTGAAGATTTTCCATAATCTTTCTATTACTGATTTCTACCTTAATTCTATTGTGGTCAGAGAGCATACTTTGTGTGGTTTCAATCCTATTAGATTTAATGAGACTAGCTTTATGGCACAGAATGATCTACCTCTGAAATGTTCTATGTGCACTTGAAGAGAATGTTGTGTATTCTGCTGTTGTTGGATAATGATCTAGAAATATCAAGTTAATTAAATCATGTTATTAAGTCTTTTATATCTTTACTGATTTTCTATTGACAATTATTGACAAGGGTGTGTTGAAATCTCCAACTTTAATACTAGATTTATCTATTTTTCCTTGCAGTTCTATCAGTTTTTTGCTTCATGTATTTTGAAACTCTGTTATTAGGTATGTACAAGTTTAGTTTTGTTATGTCTTTTCAATGCCTTGATTCCTTTATCATTATAAAATAATCTTGGTTATCCCTAGCTATATTCTTTGCTATGAAATCTATTTTGCTTGATGTTAAAATAGCTCCACCAGGTTTCTTTTTGTTAGTGTTGGCATAGTATATCTTTTTCCATCATTTTGTTTTTAACTTATTTGTGTCATCTTTATATTTAAAGTGCAAATGCCTTGATGATGCTTTATAGCTGTCATAGTTGGGTCTTGTCTTATCCAATCTGACAATTTTTACTGTTTAATTGGTGATTTTGAAAATATATATCATTTTAT